AATACTAGCCAAAGATAGTAAATGCCCTCGTACAACGCTGTCCGGAAACAATGCTGCGAATCCTACGCCGTCAGAAGACTTAGAGCCATCTGTGTACACTGCAATGGCATGAGAATGAGAGTGGAAGTGGTCAAGAAAAAGAGAGCGGGAAACGACCGTAGACAGTTGGGCTTTCGAGCAAGGGAGAGAGAAAGAACAGACTCGAACAGCTGGAACTTCCCAGGGGGGTAGGGAAAAGTGAGATGCTACATGAACATAGAAAGGTGGTAATTGAAGAGAAGACAAGAGTAGGCTTGGTTACAAGTAATGACTGATGCAGTGGCCAGACTTGGCTTGGTTACAAGTACTGATTGATGTTGTGGTAGCCAGGCTTAAGCTTGGTTACAAGTACTGACTGATGTTGTAGTGGCCAGGCTTAGGCTTGGTTACAAGTACTTCTGGCAGTTTGGGAGACACACAGATGATCAAACTAAATGCAAATTATGTGGTCAGGCATATGGTCACTGTCTTGAACACTATGTGCTTAATTGTCCACTTATTGAGGAATACAGAGACAGTATAATAACCTATGTGACATGTCAAGATATCTTATTAATGAAAATAAGATATCAGATATACTAAGCAAATTTCCTAAATTTGCTTGTAACAGATAAGTGAACTATAGATATGTAGATATAAATCCATATGTATTCATGTTAACCCTTTTGGGGCCTAGTTCCAGGGCCTTTTGTGTATCCATATGCTCTTGCGCTACCGTCCACAGGATGGATATGGGGTGCACAATAAACTAGCCACTTCGGTGGCAAAATCTAAATCTGTTCTCGTCTGAATATCGATTACAAATCTTGTCCAGTCTCTCCAAGACGCTTGTCAGGCCCGGTGGCCTGGTGGCTAAAGCTCACGCTTCACACACGGAGGGCCCGGGTTCGATTCCCGGCGGGTGGAAACATTTTGACTCCCGACCTAATTGTATTTATTTCTCCCCACTGAATCTCCCCTACCCTCTTTAGCTTTGTTTCACTTAAAGTCAGGATATCCAGCATCTTTTTAATCATAACATTGGTAATCATTTCTTTCTTAACATGTGCAATACATCCACACACATTCAAACATCCCAACTTTAAGGTTTTCTTATTATTTTTAATAATCTATATAGGAGAAGGGGTTGCTAGCCCATTGCTCCTGGAATTTTAGTTAGTTTTTAGGACACACATGGCATACAGAGGAAAAATTCTTACTCCACTCCCCCCATGGAGATGAAAGGAAAATTCATAAGAAAAAGAACTATTAAGAAAATAGAAGAAAACTCAGATGGGTGTGTATACATATACGAGTACATGGATGTGACCTAAGTGTAAGTAGAAGCATCAAGCAGAAGCATGTTTATGAGAAAAAAAAAAAAACACCAGCAATCCTACCATTATGTACAATTACAGGTTTCCATTTCACACTCATTTGGCAGGCTGGTAGCACACACGTACACACACACAGGGGCACAAAGGAAGTTTCCCTGCTTATCAAAAACCAATGGAGTTTTGAGATGGGAGGACTAGGCAGAGAGGAAGCAAATGATTAAATAATAGGAACACTTCAGACTGGGGGTCCAAATGTGATAATAACAGTGATGTACAACCCACCACTGAACAGCAGGAGACCAAGAGAAGAGTACAATTAGAGCAACAGTGTGATGGTGGACACACTAGCCGAGGTGGCCAGAAGGGACCACATAAGCAGGGCAAAATTACTCATCCTGAGGGATTTCAACCACAAGGAGACTGAAAATCTGGAGCCACATGGGAGACCAGAGACATGGACGGCTAAGATGCTGGAGGCAGTGCTGAAAAACTTCATGCGCCAACATATTAGGGACACAAGAGAGGGAGGAAAGGAGAGGATGACCACCTTGAACAGATCAGTCATAAGGGATTATTTTTTTTTTCTTATTAACACATCGGCTGAGTCCCACTAAGGCAGGGTGGCCTGAAAAAGAAAAACTTTCATCATTCACTCCATCACTGTCTTGCCAGAGGGATGCTTTACACTACAGTTTATAAAACTGCAACATTAACACCCCTCCTTCAGAGTGCAGGCACTGTACTTCCCATCTCTAGGACTCAAGTCTGGCCTGCCGGTTTCCGTGAATCCTTTCATAAATGTTACTTTGCTCACACTCCAACAGCACGTCAAGTATTAAAAACCATTTGTCTCCATTCACTCTTATCAAATACACTCGCACATGCTTGCTGGAAGTCCAAGCCCCTCGCACACAAAACCTTTGCCCCTCCCTCCAACCTTTTCTAGGCTGACCCCTACCCCGCCTTCCTTCCACTACAGATTTATACACTCTCAAAGTGATTCCGTTTCATTCCATTCTCTCTACATGTCCGAACCACCTCAACCCTTCCTCAGCCCTCTGGACAACAGTTTTGGCAATCCCGCACCTCCACCTAACTTCCAAACTATGAATTCTCTGCATTATATTCACACCACACATTGCCCTCAGACATGACATCACTGCCTCCAGCCAAATGAAATGATGGAACACATAACCACAAAGTGCAGGGAGGAGAAGAGGGTCATACCAAGGGGCCAAGTGTGCTAGAGCATGGAAAAAGTATAGAAGGAAAACAGAAGTTGAGCAAAAAGCCAGAAACAAATGTGCATCAAAAGCCAAATCTGACCCAACACTTCTATACAGCCACATCAGGAGGAAAACAACAGCCAAGGACCATAATCAGGCTGAGAAAGGAAGGAGGGGAACTCACAGGTAGTGACCAAGAGGTATGTGAAGAGCTCAACACAGAAAGACTTCCAGAAAACTGAGGTGGTAGGGTGCACCAACAATTGCTGTACACACTGCACACAACCGAGGAGGTGAAGAAACTGCTAAGTGAACTAAATACCTTGAAGGCGTTGAGCTCAGATAACATCTCTCCTTGGGTCCTGAGATGCATTGTATGTGCAGCCAACATCAATCTTTAATAAATCTATCGAACAGGGCAAATGCTTGAGGTGTGGAAGACAGCAAACAGTCCCAATTTTTAAGAAAGGAGACAGACAGGCTGCATTAAACTACAGACCAGTGTTGCTGACATGTACAGTGTGTAAAATTATGGTGATTATCAGAAGAATGGTGGAGCACCTAGATAGAAACAGGCTTGTACATGACAACCAGCACGGCTTCTGGCAAGAAAAATCCTGGGTCACAAATCTACTGAAGTTCTACGACAAGATAACAGAAGTAAGAAAGAAGAGAGGGACACGGAGACTGCATCTTTTTGGACTGTAAGAAGGCTTACGACACAGTATCACACAAGAGACTGGTTGAAAAACTAGAGCATCAGCAGGAAAAGTAGGGAAAGTAATGCAATATATCAGGGAATACCTGACAAGGCGTCAGAGCGGGCATGTGTCGAGTGGGGTTCCACAAGGGTTAAGTCCTAGGTCTGGTGCTGTTTCTTGTACATATGCAAGTGATATGATGAAAGAGATAGATTCAGAGGTGTCCCTGTTTGCAGATGATGTGAAACTAATGACAACAATCAGGTAAGATTACAAGGGGATCTAGAAGGGCTGCAAGCCTGGTCCGACAAATGACTCCTGGAGGTTAACCCCAACAAGTGCAAAGTTATGAAGCTTGGGCGCGCTGTATAGCCCTTGTGGCTTAGCGCTTCTTTTTTATTATAATAATATGAAGCTTGGGGAAGGACAAAGACTGCCGATAGAGTACGGCTTAGGAGGTCAAAGACTGAAACATTCACTCAAAGAAAAGGATCTTAGGGTGAACATCATACCGAGCACATTCTCCTGAGATGCACATCAATCAAATAACTACTGCAGCACATGGGCACTTGGCAAAGCTGAGAATAGCATTTCAACGTTTAAGGAGTCATTCACAACACTGTACACCGTGTATGTCAGGCCCATATTGGAATATACAGCACCAGTATGGAACCCACACCTGGTCAAACACATCAAGATAATGAGAAAGTGCAAAGCTTTGCAACAAGATTAGTCCTGGAGCTGAGGGGTTTGTCCTACGAGAAGGGGTTAAGGGAATTCAATCTGACAACACTGGAGGATAGGCAGGAAAGGAAGACATGATAATGACATAAAATACTGAGAGGAATTGACAAGGTGGACAGGGACAGAATGCTTCAAAGATGTGACACAGGAACAAGAGGTCACAACTGGAAGTTGAAAACTCAGATGTTTGGGAACACTTCATCAGTCACAGAGCTGTCAGGAAGTAGAAGTCTGGAGAGTGATGTAGTGGAGACAGGATCCATACATAGCTTAAGATGAAGTATGATAAAGTTCATGGAGCAGGGAGAGAGCTGGACTGTCAATTTACGGACCACAGCTCAAGCCCCTTGTCCACCCTTCTGTTTATTCATTTCTTTATATGTTGAACATATCATAATTTTAAAAATAAAACAAAAAATACAGGAAAAGTATCGGTATCGGATGAAAATTGGGTATTGGTATAATCAAAAATTTTGGAATTGCCTTATCACTAGACAATAGCCATCCTAGATGGGGATGGGGAACGGGGGGGCCCACACAGTCATCCTGTGAGAATTTCAACCTCTGAGAGCCACCCATAATTATTATCCAAACAGGAACAAATTTTGTCACCATGATTTTATCATGAAGTGGAGCATTATTATTACATCCACAGAGGGAGTGCTAAACCTAGAGGGGTCATACAGCACCTGAGGCAATAGGAGTCATTCAGGTTCGGTCCAAGGAAGTACACAGATCCAATTCCAGAGCAACATCAAGGATCCTCCTTGAGGAAATGAAGTGCAACAAATTCAGAGACTGGAAGAGTAGAAATTCTAAAACTGATTTTTATGTCCTTCAGACATAACTGCTATCTGTTGCACAGTGTAGAGGAAACAATGTAGGTAGGATGGTAATAATTTGAGCTGTTGCATCCTGTACTGTATCATGAACAAACATTGCTCTTTAGTTATGGATAATTATGAAAAACTTGGTAAAAGGCTAAAAGTGTATTTAGCATTCAAAAGAATATCTAAGAACAGTTATGCATAGTTTTCTTCCTCGGCTTAATAATGCAAAAGTTTATTCTGCACAAAGACGAAAACTACTTTGGATTAACCTTCGGTATACTGTAACTATCAAGACTAACAAGACTACCTGCAAAAGTCATCACAAACATTTCAATATTAAAATAAGAAATTAGCTAAACATAATATATGTAAAGTTTTAATACAGATCTACAAGTTCAAGGTAGTTATTGCTGTCTCGTAGTATAAGACAAAAATACAGTATTAAATCTTCCATCTACAAAGCTTGATCCTAAAAGTTATAAATGTAATTATAGAACTAAACATTTTTGTAATCTCTAGAATGTCTTATCTTCAATTTAAAAAAGCAGATAGTCTACCAGCCTAAATTAAACTCTCTATTACATGTTTGACAAATATCAATAAAATTAAGATGCCATGCCTGTACATTGAAAGTTATTTTTTTTGTTTTTACCGTGTTTTACATTTACTCATTCTTGAAAATTTATCACTGTCAAGGTGCTTATGAACTAAGCCAAAGTTAATGTGTTGAAGACACTGCATGCTCCAAAATCTTCTACCGTACAAGAGCCGCCATGTTATACAAACTTTCACAGCCTTGTCAAAGCTATCTCTCTAGACACCAGCACTGACTGACCCACACATAATAAATGCCTTTTGTCAATAATTTTTTTTTTTTTTTAGATACAACATAATTTAATGATCTACAAGTGGATGACAAGTTAAATGCATTTATTCCACCCAATTCAATTATCAATGGAATAAGTTATAAATACACAAAAGTACACGAGTCATGAATCAATATAGTGTGTATTGCAGCATATTCTAGTTCATGACATAGGAAGATTTAAAAACACTGCATGGTCCACACTCACTACTACAGTATGGACAATTATTTGTCCTTTAAGTCTCATGTAAGTCCCTAGTTCCTAGCTCCTAGTGCTAGCCTGACTATTACCTTCCTACTAGACTCCAACACCTGGTTCATAGTCCAAACCTTCTTCATCCATTACTTCATCTTCATCATCACCTCTGGTTAAGAGAAAAATACATTTATTTAATAATTTATCTAGTGCTGGAAATTGAAAGTTGACAGAACAACAATATATTCAGTAAACAGACACAGATGCAACTAATGTGACGTTTTATTATGGCAATGCTTCACTCTCCAGGAGCTTTGTCAAGCTGTAACAGCTTGACAGAGCTCCTGGCGAGCAAAACGTTGCCACGATGTCACATTAGTTAGTGTTCATATACCTAACAATCTGTGGGTAATTCTACCATTATTACTAACAATATATTCCAATGAATTGCTGAAAAAACTCACAAATCATCTTTGGTGTTTAGAGCCATGTCATCTTCATCATCCATTTCCTCCTGATTGTTTTCACTTCCTACATTCTTCTTTTTATTCTCCTCATAATGCTCTTCATTATCTGCACTTCTCTCCAGGCTTTCTTCAATGTCTGCTGACGATGCACCCTCCTAAAAGAAGACAAATGTTATAGGAAACTCCTACATAAACACTGTAAAACACACAACTTGCCTTCTATCCCAATATATCTCAAAGAAACATTTACAGGAAATAATCTTTCTCATGCTACTGCTTGCTTGCTCTCCCCCCGTCCCTTCCTTTCCTCTTTTTCCTGAAGGAGTGCTGAAGGATGTGGATCTATCAGAGGTTGGAATGACCTGATACCAATTTTCTTGCAGGTACAGATACTTAATTTTAGGCCGATATCAATACCATTAAATTAGCAGATACTTGCCGATACTGGTTAAAATACCAATACCATTAATAATAATAATAGAACCAAACTAAGTGCTAAACCTAAAAGTCACCGATGCAAAAGTGTGAATGTAATTACATTCTGAGCAACGAGTTCTAACTCGGTTATCCCACCCATTTATATTTTTTTTACATCAGTCATATCCCACCAAAGGAAATACAACAATATCTTGCACAGTATGATTAATACATGCCAAAAATAGCATACGATGCAATACCATACTGATCAAAATATTATCATAATGTGTTTTAATATAATGCATTCCATCAACATTAAATGCATTGGATTGCAAATATATTTAGCCATTTGCTTAGCATAAATGAATGCACATGAAACTCTTGCACACACTTGCAAATAAGGAAATTACAAAAGATAAAAACAAAAAATAGTAATAAAGATTTTATTACAGTTGTAGATAAACAATGTGCCATACATACAGTAAAGAAAAAGGTAATTTTTGTTTTGAAAAATAGTTGAATGTAGTTCACACAGTTATTTCTTTTTATCAGTATACATATTTTTATACATATCTTTATAGGTAGTAGGTTGGTAGACAGCAACCACCCAGGGAGGTACTACTGTCCTGCCAAGTGAGTGTAAAATGAAAGCCTGTAATTGTTTTACATGATGGTAGGATTGCTGGTGTCTTTTGTCTGTCTCATAAATATGCAAGATTACAGGTACGTTTTGCTACTTCTATTTACACTTAGGTCACACTGCACATACATGTACACGTTTATTTACACACACTCGTCTGAGTTTTCTTTGATTTTATCATAGTTCTTGTTCTTATTACTTTTCCTTTTATATCCATGGGGAAGTGGAATAAGAATCTTTCCTCCGTAAGCCATGCGTGTTGTAAAAGTCAACTAAAATGCCGGGAACAATGGGCTAGTAACCCCTTTTCCTGTAATAATTACTATAAAGAATAAGAAGAAAATTGTCAAAGTGGGAAGTCTGAATGTGCATGGAAGTTGTGCAAATGATAAGAAAGAGATGATTGTGGATGTTATGAATGAGAAGAAGCTGGATGTCCTGGCTTTAAGTGAAACAAAGCTGAAGGGGGTGGATGAGTTTCAGTGGAGAGAAATAAATGGGATTAGGTCAGGGGTTTCAAATAGAGTTAGAGCTAAAGAAGGAGTAGAATAATGTTGAAGGATAAGCTATGGCAGGAAAAGAGGGACTATAAACGTATTAATTCAAGGATTATGTGGAGTAAAATAAAGGTTGGATGTGAGAAGTGGGTTATAGTAAGCGTATATGCACCTGGGGAAGAGAGAAGTATAGAGGAGAGAGAGAGATTTTGGGAAATGTTGAGTGAATGCGTGGGGAGTTTTGAACCAAGTGTGAGAGTACTTGTGGTTGGGAATTTTAACCCTTTGACTGTTTCGGTTGTATATATATGTCTTACGCACCACTGTTTCTGACATATTTATACGCATAAATTCTAGTGGCTTCAAATCAAGTGGGAGAAAGCTGGTAGGCCCACATGTGAGAGAATGGGTCTGTGTGGTCAGTGTGCACCACATAAAAAAAATCCTGCAGCACCGTTTTTTGGGATTAAAACGCCGACTTTGAGGTGTATTTTCGTACAGTATTTATCGTTGTATTCTCGTTTTCATGGTCTCGGGTGATAAAATGGAAAACATATTAAAGAAATAGAGATGATTTTGATTACTTTCACGATGAAAATGACCTTGAAATTGAGCTCAAAATAGCGGAAATGGTCGATTTTTATCAATGTTCAGGAGTAAGCAAATCACACCACACGTCCAATACACTTCAACTGGGGAGTCTAATATTCTTTCACTAGTGCACTGATATTATTTATACCATTTTTACAATAATGCAGTATGTAAAGTAAAAGGACACAAGTGCAACTAATGTGACATTTATTGTGGCAACGTTTCGCTCTCCAGGAGCCACAATAAATGTCACATTAGTTGCACTTGTGTCCTTTTACTTTACATATTGTCGGTAATTCTACCAACTTTATTACAATAATGCAGTAGTCTGCATAACAGTAAATTTTGTATTTTTTTTTTAATATAAAATCAAAATAGAAAGCAATAGTAATATAAGAGGGGCCTAGAGATGTGACTATGAACAGAGGATATGTTATTTTAGTGCCAAGAATGTCTACATTGTTTATTCTGGACCCTATTTTGTGTGAAATTGGCCAAATTGCCAATTTCTGACCACTTTATTGGGAAGTTCAAATCGATAAATGGACAGTTTCTTGTACTCAACAGATAGAAAAAATGGAGTTCTAAAGAAATAGCCATGAGTCTGGTGAACTGGAACAACGGAATTGGCCAAAAACAGGGCTCAAAGTCAGCGAAATTGCCGATGCGCATATGTCGCCGAGACCGCTAAATTCATGGGAGCGTAATTCCGCGAGTTTTCGATCAAATTTCGTACTTTTGGTGTCATTACCATCAGGAAAAGATTCTCTATCATTTCATAAGAAAATATAATTTATTTTTTTTTTCCAAAAATTTATCGACATAGAATGACAGTTTCAGAAAGGGGCCTGCGGCAGTCAAAGGGTTAATGCTAAAGTGGGTAAAAATCTTGTGGAGTGAGTAGTAGGTAAATTTGGGGTGCCAGGGGTAAATGAAAATGGGGAGCCTTTAAGGGGGGAGAATGGGATTATATTTTTTTTTTTTTGTTTTCAACCGATTTATTTTATTTTTGGTGTACTTTTAGAGGTGCATATATAGTTTAATGTGACAAAGTTTCAGTATGATTGGCCAACAAACAACATAGAAAAAAAATATTAACATAATTTTGATATATGGCAGCATCCCCTGACAAATTGGCACTACGAGTGGCACTTCCGACATTCCCAACTGTTAGAATACAACTAGCACGAATCTTTTACGTTGCCATTTCATCTAATATATCTTATTATCATGGTAAAAAAAAATACATTTGACAGAATTTTTGGCATTCACCAAAATATCTGCCTTTTACCCCCCACAAAATCAAAAATATTTGAGATATTCCAAAAAATCCATCGTTACAATTTAAAACACACTTTGTTTTATATTGTCTGTGAAAATCATTTCAATACAATCATTAATAATGGTTGAGGTCCGCGAAATAAGTGAATAAGTTACTTCCGAGACATAGGCCTAGAACGCCGGTAGGCCTACCGTCAAAAAAAAATTTTCTTTTTTCGCGAAAATCGCGTTTGTTTCGGTGTATTTCTTAGTAAACTGATGTTCTAGTGCAGTTATCCTCTTCAAAACATCGTTTTCTCTCACTCACAGACCAAACAATACAACATGGAGACGAGGAGTAACTTTTTTATATCGAAATATTGCTGGTGGACTCTCGCTATATTATGGCCTATTTTATTCAGTCTAGAGTATATAACATGTTTGTTTGTTATTTACAGTGATTATTATATCATATTAGATCAATTCTGATAGATAAATAAGCCGTATAGTTAATATATAAGCTGATATAAGCGTAATAATGAAGTGATTTCACCTGGCACTCTCTGGAGAGGGATCACTGCCGAGTGTACCTAGGTGCTTCCCGATAGGCTAGACGTCTATTGATAAGCTCCAACTACTCTTATATGATGCCAAATAATCAATTATTATATTAGAAAGAATAATGCAAAGAAAAAGCAATAAAAAACAAGGAAAAAATTCCAAAAAATACATAGGTTGAGAACAGACGCGCTACCTACATCGCCGCCACCATACCTGATATAAATGACTATAATTTCTTGTAGAAACGTTGTAGAACATTGATTCTTGTACCATTGTGTTGCCAAAGAGTTAAGCTATTTTTCTATATGAATAACTCATTTTCATAAATTTTCGAATTTTTCTTGAGAGCGCTGAAAAAAATGTTCACACTTGCACCCTTAACCCTTTGAGGGTTTCGGATGTACTAGTACGGCTTACGAGCAGGGTTTTTTGACGTACTAGTATGCATAAATTCTAGCGCTGTCAAATCTCGCGGGAAAAGGCTGGTAGGCCTAGATGTGAGAGAATGGGTCTGTGTGGTCGGTGTGCGTGGTAGAAAAAAAATCTGGAACCCAGTGGTGCATTGTGGGAATGCCATCTTAGTACACAATGTCCACCATGCTTCGTGGTAAGAAGTTCCTCACTCCTCAGCGAATTGGGACACTTTTGTTCCCCAGTGACAGTTCTAATACAGATGGAAGTGCCAGTGAAGATGAGTTTCAAGGTTTTGGTGAGGTTTTGACCGAAACTAATGACCATAATATCGGTAATAGTGAGGAAAACCCAGACGACCCTCAGCCTTCCACCTCTGGTGCTGGGCAGTCTTGTTCACGTTCAGTTGTACCAGAATCAAAGAGGAAACTCCTATTTTCCCAAATCCCAGACTCAGATGTGAGCATTTGTGATGATAGTGATAGTGATTATGAACTACAAGCTCTTGAAAACAGTTCCAGTAGTGACAGTGAAGTGGAATATTCCCCAGTGATGCATCAGTATATACGATGATATATGCGCTCTGGTAGTGTGCCATATGCTATTCCAAGGGGAAGGAGTACATCTCGGAGTACATCCCGTGGCTGTACAACAGGAACAGACAGTGAAAATGACGATGATAGTGTTGCAATTGGGATGGAAAATGTGCATGGTGGTGGTGGTAGTGGTGGTGACAGCCGTGAGGCACCAGCAGTAGGCCATGCATGCTGCCACCCGC